TTCAACACCCGCGGTGGGCAGAGCATATAAAGTAATAAAAACATTTTGTAAATGTAAAATGATGTAGGGATGGCAGTGCCAAAAAAGAATGCAAACAAGAATATAGGGATGATATAGCTATACATAGATCATCTCTACATGACTTTTAATATTAAATTTTAATGTTACACTGTAAAATGCATACTTGACTTTAATATTACTGCAGTTGGAAGTTATATATTTCTGACTATTGGTATGCAGTTTGTATATTATAATATCATGGTAATGTTAGGGTAGGCATCAATTTAATGTGACTAAGAGCCTAGGACTTGCGAACAAGGAAAAACTAAGTTGAGTCAAAACACTCTTGATTGTTATAGACTATTACAGACTCTCGCTACAAGGTCAGTCGAATTGACCGACCTCGTAACCATTTTATACACACGCATTCTACAGTGTAACATTAAATTTTAATATTGAAAGTCATGTAGGGATGATCTATTCCTATACTCTTGTTTCCATTATTTTTGACCTGCCATTCCTACATAATTTTATATTTACATGTTTTTATTACTTTTTTGACATTTTTTTCCCATGACTGAAAGATAGTGTAATCTATGAATGTGTAATTTTTCCCTACTACACTTCATACATAATATAGGGTTTCTCTCCCTAAAGACATCGATTGTATAGTATAAAAAAGCATTGAGTATTTTACATGTTACACTCATCTAATGTTCATCTATTATTGGTTGGTAATTTCTGTTTTACCCTATAGTTAAGCTTTTTAAAGGAACACAGGATTTCTGTAAAAACGCTAACATCAAGGAGTAATGAATTATGATTTTTTTAAATTACTACTAGTTATTTCGACTATATGATGACATCGTGCACTGCCCAGAAAACACAGAGTGGATTTAGGTTTAAACTGACGTTAGTGATAAAGTAGTTGTAGAGTTATCTCAACTGAAACAAGAAGAAAGATGAACAATCTGGTGGGTTGGTCACTTTCTGGTTTGGTATCTTAGCGATGGTTTCTTGCCTTGTTTTTAATCTTGTTGGGTAGAGAAACAAATGAAAGTGAGTGGTAATCATCTTTTAAAGTAAAACTCTCTGTCATTGTTGATGTTTTCAACGTACATATTTGTATTATCCCTATTGAGTACCTTGGCCACCCCTACATATATATAGTCTAACGACTCCATGATACCCCGTTGTGTAGATTTGTGCTTAACAAAAAAAAACAACAAAAAACCTTACTGTAAGGTCAAGTCCTGGCCAGCATAAATCCACCATATTTTCATTTACGTTGAGCCAACTAAATACGCTTTAGAAAATTGTGACTATCTGTTTACATTTACACTATCCCAACCAGTTCGATACAGTGCAATACGATATTAAACCGAAGGATTCAAAATATAGCACATCTATAATAAGGAGCAAAGTAGTTATTAAAAATAAATGTTCAAATACTTGTGACATACATATCAGTTTCAATTAAGTAACGAGGAGATAATATCCAGTTTATTTTTTAAGCTTGCATGAATATTTATTTCAACGTAACTTTTTCATCATCGAACTCTTGTTATAACACTCGTAGGGTAACGTGTACACTGATTCCCAAAAGTTAAGTAACAAACACAAAAATGCATATAAGTCCAAAATGATGCAAGATTCACTCACCAAATATGGACCGTTAGTACATTTATACATGATACAACGTGTAACAAAACATATTTAAAGTAGGTCCCATCAAAACATGCAAATTAGAATCGGTATAAAGAGACGTGGGTAATGACTCGTTCATATTATTTTTGACTCTGGTAGAATAAACATGTAAAAATAATTTGCACAAAATGTGTAGCCGTCATCGTCTGAAAAAATTTCCAAGGTGGAGATGTATTGGTATGGTATTCTCAGGTGAACTTATATGGGATACGTCCGCTTTATAACGGGAGGATCGATCTGAGTTTAACTCAATGACTGAGTTTAAGCTAAGAAAACAGACTAGACACGTGATGTGAAGAGAAACACAATCTTGATTAAATACAACGCGAAATAACAGTGTGCGTGTTTGCGTGGACGTCTATAAGATCGGTAAATCAGCAGACAGCTTTCGTTTCCCGAGAAGTCTTTCCGTTGAATTCATCGTATATACCATGTAGAACTGATGTGAATCCAATGCTTCTTATGAACAGGAAATGTCGGATTTACTCAAAAAGACTCGCGTTCCACATGACTGGTCGTGCTCTTACAACATAACAAAGGTTGTAACCTCTAGATATCTTTTATTTGACCAGTGAAGAGCATTGCTGTTGTTGACCTGTTTGTACAGAACCTACGAAGTTGGTCTTCGGTTTCTGGACCACGTGTTTATGCGAAAACTGCATAAAATCTTGAGTAAACGCAAAAAAATCTAAAAATTATTATATTAATAAAAGGAGGTAGAAGGCAAATAATATGCTTGCATACTAAATTAAAGTCTGAACGCCGGGCAATCATGGACCCGGGTGACTGAATGACTATCTAAACAGGAGTATTGTTTCACAAACTATGGATACAATCTAAATTGCAAGGAGATATTGCTTGAAGACCAAAACAAGGTAGAATATGGGTCACAACCCCAGCAGTTGATCATTATATGTCACTTGTGGCCCGACGAAGATTATTCTTTTCACCAATCCAACAGTCTTTGGATCTCTGCACAATTATATGGATATCGGTATCAGCCCAAATGGTAGCCAGAAGACTGCAGGAAATAGGACTGTATGCAAGATGACCATTGGTGACCCACAAACCCAAACAGGAATGTTTGAAGTGATGTCGTGAATATGTCTTTTGACACCATACCAATGGAGACAGATGAGTCCAGATTCAGCATACTCATGGCGTACATTCATCATGAAGGAACACTCAGCCTGTCCATGTACATCATGGAAAGGGTTCCTATTGTGGTGGACGTTTGATGATCTGGGCAGGAATTTTCATGGATGAACATACAGGCCTCCGTGTGTTTGAGAGTGTTACTGTGGCTGGTTGAAGATATAGTGATAAGATCCTGGATCCCAATGCTAGACCATATGCAGGTACATTAAGAGGCACTTCATTTTAAATGACAATAATACTCGTCCACACATGACACGTGTTATCAACCGGTAGCTGCAAAACTACACTATCATGCGTTTGAATTGGCCAACATATTTACCTGAACTCAGTCTTATAGAGCATAGTTGAACTACCTGCTAGGTGATATGGGAGACCAGTAGACAACCAACACCCTAATGTAATATAAAGCAGTTCGAATGAAGAAATACTTCGGATGAACGAATATTATATGGTAAACTACTTCGATCAAGCCTAATCATGAGTCGTTATCGTCAAATTATGCACTTTTAGTCCAGTCATTACTCACCTTGAAAACTCATGCTATAAAACCCTACACTTATTTCTTCGAATTTTCACTTTTTGATTATGATCAGTTAAGAATATAGTTTCATTTTATAGTTGAAAGGGTAGATTTTTTAGAAAGTGAAGCAAAATGTGTTTCAGTGTTTTCGATCCTTTTGTGCATCAATACTGTTATTGATATACAGTGTATATTCTGATCTATAATATTATTATCGATACCAGACTGAAGTTATCCGTTTCATGACATTGAAGTATTCTTTACTTTTGGTGTAAACTTTATCGAATACGTGTTTGAACTCTTTACGTGATTTTGTTTGCGTCTTAATCGCCGAGCCCCCCAGTAGCACAGCGGCATGTCTTCGGACTTACAACGCTAGAATCCGGGTTTCGATACCCGTGGTGGGCAGAGCACAGATAGCCCATTGTGTAGCTTTGTGCTTAATTACAAACAAACAAACTTAATCGCCGAATAAATTGAAGTTATTGTCATTTTATTAGTTTAGTAAACATCGATTTGCTATTTGAAAAAATACATTGTTCCTTGATTTTGATTGTTAATGATATTATTGGAAAGTCATCCTCTTTTAACATTGCAGTATACAATGTACTTGCTTTCCTTGACAAACGTGCAATTCTAAGTGTATGTATTTACATACATCGAGGTAGACAAGTTTAAAAATATTATTTAATTTTGTGTTAAGACAATAAATACGTTTACACAGTATAATTCATTATGTTTTTCACAAGTTTTGAATATTTTTATAATATATTCATTTGTGTTTTGTTTTATAATCAAAACAGTTATAAAACGCACGATGTTTTGTTCTTTTGCTCAAAAGGATGTTTCTAAATGTATTCGACTTTTCGTGACACTATTAATCAAACTAGATAATGTGTATTATATGTATATTTGGCAGCAAAATATCTTTGGTATTTATTCTCGGTGTATTTTTATTCACATAATCGCTGTTATTATGCAGTTATGAGGTTAAACTAATGCCTAAAATAATTATTATCGCAGACTGAAATGGACGCAGAAGCTCGAGACTTCAACAGTGATCATCCAGTCACCGTAGTTTCACAAAATCTTTCTGGTAAGCAACTTTTTAAAGTCTCATAGCTCGAGGGCCTTCAGTAGCTAGGTGGTGACAGGTATTAGAGTTGGTTGTTTGTTTGGTGTTTTATGGCGCAAAGCAACTAGGCTATCTGCGCCAGGGATGGAAGGAATTTTCATTGAAGGCGGCGTGTTTATGGAATTTGAAAACAAAGCAAATCTATATCATTGTTAAGATAGAAGTTTAAATACAATAACATAATGGCTGTTTCATAATGACGAAGAGGAAATGACCTAAGCTGACACCGGTTTATTACTATTCGTTCTTATTTACAATTGGTAAATGTACACAAATGTCTCGTTTAATTTAATACGTTTGTTTGCCGTTTACATGCATAAAATAAAAGCAAACCATTACAAAATTGCCACGAAAATAAAAAGACAATTATAAGAATTATTAAAAAGCAAGCTGAGAATTCTTGAGGATTAGAAGGAAACGAATACATTTTTCGAATGTGTTCAAAATTAATTGTGGTAAAAGTTACTTTGTACACTTAATACAGATAAACAGGTTTTTCTTCTGGGTAAACAAATCATTTGTTTTTGTAAAACCGTGTTAATGAAATGTTCATTTTAGTCGAAGATGAACTTTACTTTTAAGTGAATAATTTGTTTTATTGGCCTTCTTTGAAAAATTCGGGAAATTGTCGACAGTAGTTAATAAATTAAACAAATAGTTTTGAGATTAACGACAAACGAACAAAACTAACCTACTAGTGCTTAGACCAGTGTTTCTCAGCCGGATTTGCCACTCGTGTCCCGGTTTTGTTCGTCGTGACCCCTGTTATCTCTACAAGGATGAAAAAACTCTTGATGTTTCTTGGCGCAGTTCGTCATAGACCATAACAAAGGGGATATGTGCACTTCTCAGACACCTCGATGACTACAAAAAAAAAAAATACTTAACGCAAACAGCTTGTGACCACCTTGGAAACCTGTTCGCGACACCCTTGGGAGTCGTGACCCATCGTTTAAGAAACACTGGCTTAGAAGATATAAGATTCAGGTTTGCCGTAAAGGGAGGGCAGTTGAATTTAAAAGGGTCATAATTTACATCAGGGAGACTATGAAGTAAGCTAGGGTTAAGAAAGAAGAACAATCACAGTAGAAAAAAAAAATTGACAGTTATATTTTCAAGTGATGATACTGTCTATGCAAATAAAAACCCATATTTTGGGATGGATAGAAAAATTCTAAAAAAGAACAACAACCGATAAATGTGTTGTTGGTTACAAGCGAGACTTCTCGGAGCTGTGTAGAACTGAACGTGTTTTATATTTTTTTTTTCTTGCGAGTTACACTAAATGACAAAATATCATTGTAAAAATATTTTTGAGTAAAAATTTATTGCAATCAAAAATATAATTATTATTTTTACCCAAATTGTGAAATTGGATGTGCACGTGTGCATTCGACACTTGAAAGGTGCTGACCGATTCGGATAGGGTTAAGAATCCAGTGTTCCTTCAATTCTCCATACGGTTATGAATGATACTGTTACGAGAATGGATACTTTTCTTCATACCTCATCTGTATTTCTGAGTTTTATACAAGTCTTCATAATGAACGATTTAAAGTACGTTTAGCTGCAAGACAAACTTCTTGCTTACACGTCCACAGTCTTACAGACACGGCATAAGTTCATAGTAGAAGGGAGGAAATACAGATGGACAAGAAACCCCCAAATCCGAGTTAACATAGATTGTTTGCAGGGCATGCATACAGAGTAACTTTCGAGGCGATTTTCTAACCTCGTAACTTTCCTATAATACAGCAGTTTGATGTTTTTTTTATGTTTGTTTTTTGGATACTCGCATACATCTACATACGGGCTATTTTAAACCGATCGACTAGAAGGAAGGCAAGATATTATATAGCACCCACTGGGTGCTATTGGGCTATTCTTGTCTGACCGGATAGCCAGGTGTGAATGCTACTTTATAGAGCACCCACAGCCCTATAGTGCGGAGCACAATTTTTATTTTGTATGGGAACAGCCAAGTAATGACTGTTATTATATATTGTATGTGTGCGTGTCCATTGAAAACAGCCAAGTAATGACTAGTATTATGTATTGTATGTGTGTGTGTGTCCACTGGGAACAGCCAAGCAATGATTGGTATTGTATATTGTATGTGTGCGTGTCCATTGGGAACAGCCAAGTAATGACTAGTATTATGTATTGTATGTGTGTGTGTGTCCACTGGGAACAGCCAAGCAATGATTGGTATTGTATATTGTATGTGTGCGTGTCCATTTGGAACTGCCAATTAATGACTAGTATTATATATTGTATGTGTGTGTGTGTGTCCACTGGGAACAGCCAAGCAATGATTGGTATTGTATATTGTATGTGTGCGTGTCCATTAGGAACTGCCAATTAATGACTAGTATTATATATTGTATGTGTGTATGTCCACTGGGAACAGCCAAGTAATGACTATTATTATATGAATGATGAGCCTAAAGATGTATGTGTTAGTCTACGACCTAGTATATGTGTGTCCCGTAATTTATAGCTTATAGAAAGAGAAATATTTGTTAAAATGAAACTATTTTGGTCTAAATATTCACACAAGTTTTTATAGTTATCTGTAATGTCCTCCGGCAGGTCAACATTAAGCTTACGATAAAATTTAGGATTCGTTACACCTCGGTAGACAGAGCTAGATAGCCCATTGTGCAACTTTGCGCTAAAACGAACAATTTAACATGAGAAATAATTCTCGAAACCACAATTTTCGTAAAATTGTTTTAGAGAACCACCATCCATTACACAAATTATCTGTTACCCTTGAAGTAACTACATTACGCAATCGTTTTTTGCCAAACAGGAATGTTCGTAATACGATCATTTTGTTTTGAATAAAACAATATGAAAACTACTTTATTTGCCTAGTTCATGTTCAGTTTTATTACGTATAATTTACGTCTGGACTGCAAATCTAGGAGAAACAGTTGAATATTGTACTTTTTCAAATTCACCTGTAAAATCAACATTCATTGTTATGCACTACACTATTGTTGTATGAATAAATATTTTATAGTTCCTTTTGTAATAAGCGCGTTACTGTTAACCTAATATGTGAAAACTATCGAACGATATCGCAATTTTCTGTTCATGTTATATCATTTTATATACACAGATGATACGTCCAACCCTCCAAAGGATAAACCCTACGTCTTCAATGTATGGAACAAAGACCACAAAGTGTGTCTTTTGGCTTCGTTTCAGGCTTCTTTCTTGATTTCATACGCCAGCAGAGGAGGAAAGCAGGTAAGCAACATCTTAATGACGTAACCGATCGAAAACATCACATAAAAGTATACGACGACCTTGTATCGAAAAGTGAAGATTCGTGAATTGATACTACATTAAGTTTTAGAATACTATTCGAGAAAACAGTAGTGATTTATTTCATTTCAAGAAACTATAGCCCGGGTTAGTCAGCGACCTTGTTGTAACTTAAATGTTTTAGGTATGAAATAACGGATTACTAATGGTACCTTTTAAAGTTTTAGGCATGAAATATCGGATTACTAGTGGTACCTTTTAAAATTTTTGGGTTTGAAATATTGGATTACTAGTGGTATATTTTAATGTTTTACGTATAAATACTAGTGGTACATTTTAAAGTTTTAGGTATTGTCATGATATAAAAATATAGTTTGGTTTAAATACTGGTGATTAATTTATATTCGTGAGTGAATATTTTATTATTTTTAAGATTTGTTATAACAAGAGTTAAAAGCAGACGATTGTAGAAGGTTTTGTTAATAACTAATTGGTGTCGAGGATATAGAAAGTGGCCAGACGACTGTGTAAAAAAGATATAAATAGCGTGAGACGAGCGAGAAGCAGCAGACAGACAACAATAGACAGATAATTGTGAAAGAGAATGTAGCTGTGTGAAGTTAAGTACCGTAGATTTGATAGGCCTAACGATTGACATAGGCCTAGCTTTTAATGTGTCAGAGTGAAACTAACAGTATAAAAAAAGAGATAAGAAGGATAATTTTATTCCGTCAAAGTATAGTTCTAAAGTAATTGAATCAACCTGGATACTCTTTGACAAAAG